ACACAGAAATTTATAGCATTTATATCCTATGTTCCAATATGCATGTTACACAGGCTGTAAATAGCTGGACTATATTATGACTAATTGTATATAAATTTTGTTTACAGACCACTAATGAGACTACTGTACAGATAAAAAAGTTTTAGCTTCTTAGTAAGGATAACTAGTTTGGGCCAATATAGTTGTAATTTAGATTTAATTTAGATGAAATCTAAATAACTCAGATGAACACTACTGTTAAAATGGAAAGCTGACATTTGTTCACAACTTCTAAAACATTTTAAGTTAGATAAATAAAAAACCACCACAAGCTGTGGTTTAGAAAGGAGAGGGAGATCATCACTGTTAAAAGAGCATTTTCTGTACCTGGAACACAAGCAAAATAAATGCGAGTGCATCTGTAAGTTCAGAAGCACAAGTCTTGATCACTAAAAAAATAAAACCAATGACAAAACAAAACACTTGGAGAAGACTACTCAGAATGAATCTTATTTCCATATATACTTTAATTATGAAGGCTCCAAACGCCACTGAGCTAACAATCTCTTGCCAACTGCAACGAGAAACACTATTTAAAAGCATGGAACAGGATATCCATTGTTGCTACAGCCCCTGGAAGCAACTCAGCATCAAAGAAATACAACAAGAGAAAAATATACCACTCATTTTTCATCAGAAATGAGAAATTGTCTTCACTATATTTCAAGACGTTTATTTGGTTTAACCTGCCATAATTTATATTCATTTCAGTGCTTGTCGAGTTGTTTATTTGGTTCCCCCTGCCATAATTTATATTCATTTCAGTGCTATTAGTGGCAGCATTATTCTAATACCAGAAGAGTTTACAGGTAACTTTAATATTATATATATTAATTCTAACAAATAGAAAAAACCTAAGTGCTGATAAACTTACTCACTGGTTGTTCTAAATGACAGTCTAAAATTAGCAATTATGGTGCAATGTTTTGGAATTGTGACCAAAATAGCAGTGATAACCCAGGGATGTTTTAGTTATTGCTGAAGACTGCTTGCACAGTGTCAAGGCATTCTCTGATTCTCACACTGCCCCACCACCAAGTAGGCTGGGGGTGCACAAGAAGCTGGGAGGGGACACGGCCAGGACAGCTGACCCAAACTGGGAAAAGGAATATTCCATACCATATGATGCCCTGCTCAGCAATAAGTGCTACAAGGAAAGAAGAGGAGATGTTCGGAGTGATGGCATTTGTCTTCCCAAGCAATCATTACACATAATGAAGCCTTGCTTTCCTGGGGACGGCTGAACACCAGCCTGCCGATGGGAAGTGGTAAATTCCTTGTTTTGCTTTACTTGCGTGTGTGGCTTTTGCTTTACCTATTAAACTCTCTTTACCCCAAGCCACACTTTTACACTTCTGACTCTCTCCCTCATCCTGTTGAGGGGGAGTGAGTAAGCGGCTAGGTGGGGCTGAGCTGCCGGCCGGGGTTAAACCACAACACTGTGGTTTAACTGGTCTCTTAAAAAAGAAAGCCAAAAAACACCTACAATCACACATTTCAACTCAGCCAGATCTATTATTTTTGATAAGGCTTGGTACTGACAGACTATGCAACAACCTGGGTGGGGTTTTTTTGGGTTTTTGTTGTTGTTGGTTTTGGTTTTTTTACTTACTGTTAGAAGAATGGAAGGAATTCTAAGAATTAAAACTTCTTTGGGAGTTGGGAATGTTATGTAATTACATTTATGTTAAAGTGACTTAATGTTTAGAGAAAGTAATTTCTTCAGTACAGTAGTAGCAAGAAAAATCCCAAAACATCCCGTCTATTCAGAAGTGCTTTCATGAAGTCTTCTTGTAATAAACTTGTACTCCCCCATGTTACTATAAAATATAATAGATAGCATAAAACATCAGCATTTAGTAATGCTGCTATTTCATATCCAGTCCACCAGACTACATCTATGAACACTTTAGCTCCCACTATTGTGCCACCTCTAGCATCAATTCTCTTTACATTAACACCTAATTGGTCTGTTCCTTTTTTTTTTTTTCTCTCTGCATAGCCTGAACACACAAGTTTCATTTAAGAGTAAGTGCACTGTATATTGACCTAGTCACTCATTAAGGCTCCTGAAAAAGAGTAAGTCAATCACTTGCAACTGTGCATTTGAACACAGATCAATCCAAAATGCCTGAGCAATTCACGTTGAATAATGTAAACGTTATCATAACTAAATGCAGAACGATACATCTAGGAAGAAGGCTCATACCCACAAAGTAGAAGATGACATTCTTATAAGCAGTGGCTCTAAAAGACACCAGTATGCCGGGGATGAGCAACTCAGTATAAGCTGCTGATGCAGTATGTCAGGACTCAACGCAATCTTTCACTTCATCAGGCTTTTCTACACCAGAACAGCAATGTCATGCAATGTACACAGGAACAATTATACAGACAAGTCACAAGATCAAAGAGACTGCAGAAGAAAGCATTTTTTTTCCCCTGAGGGCAGGAAAAGTGTCTTATACCAGACAGATAGAATTTCTTAATCAAGAGGACACTTAACCATAGAATTTTTGCAAGGAGAAAATACCATGCACTAGACAGCTCTCTGATCTGGGAGAAAGGCCTAACAGCTGAAAGTGGAACCCAGATTGCTTAATATACAAAATTAAATTCCTATTAGGAATAAGCCACTGGAATAAACTACTAAACGTATGTCAGAAGTTGAAATAAAAAAACCAAACCAGACTTCAAATCAAGATCTACTGTTTTTCTAGAAAATATAACTAAACTGCAGTTACTGAACTCAGTTTGAGAAAAAAAAACCTTGAGAAAGTGGAAACAATTTATCACATAAAATCCTGACTACGCAACAGGATGGTTCCTGCTCTGAAAAAACAGGAAAACAAAAGACCCAAACACACTAGCCTGAAGGAATTTGCTTCCCCTGCATCTTGCATGGCCTTGGCTGCATCCAGGTGCACACTCTCCTCCTCTCTCTCCCTCTTGTAAGCGTTAGCAGTATAGTTTTACTATAACACACTATGGTACCCTGGTTCTCCCAACTGTTTTGCACAGGATTTGAAAGATAACGGAGAGGAATAGGACACTTAAAAGAAGGAGGTACTGAAACAGATCAGGCAAGCTGCTTGCCTGAAGTTACTTCCCAAAATTTGTTAAGAAACTGAAATGTGTATGTATTACCTGGCCAGTATACTATCAATCCTGTGTATACTGTATTGTAAAGTGACCGTATTTTCAAGCTTTTCCCTCCTCTAGAAATGCAACTTCCAAAACTAGATTGCCATAGTAATTCTCAATTATTTAGGATATAATAGATATTATTTTAGCTTTTCCTCCTATATAGGCAAGGGCTTTTTCCTTCCATTCTCCAGGCATGAGTACCTTGCGTTAAGTACAGCTCAACCTCTGACAGATGCCTCTACCACCATTCAAAATACTGTATATTCATTTTGTTAGTAAGAAATTCTTCCTAGGTCAAATTAAATGATGTGTCTTCCTTCAGAAAAAAACCCAAACAGTATTCAGACTTGACAGAAGTAGCTGCTGCAAATATTTCAAGCTTACCCAGAAATAAAGTTTGGCTAGAAACTATAGGAGGAAAAAACAGGGGTAGGGTAACAGACAGAGCAGAAGAAATGGGGTTCCCACACTACCTTCAAAATTACTTTAAGTTTTACTGAGGGAAAAAAAAACTTATAGTCAATGCTTTGGTTCAGTCTGACATGAGAAATTAATGAGGCATTTCAAGAGTTCTGTGTTTAACCTAAATATTAACTGTGCATCAATGAAAAAAAAATAAATTAGTGATAAACAGCGAAACAGTCACAGTGAAGTCTGGAGTTCTCACTATACATGTGATCACAGAATCACAATCCTGGCATTGTCTGGCTGAACACAAGGAAGCACAAATCAAACACTACACAGTCAATGAACTGTTACATTCACTGTCAGACAAAAATGCCCACGTACAGTTTTCAAGAGATGTCACTTCATGTCAAAGTCCTGTGTTGCAAGTTACAATTAAGAAAACTAATAACTGATATTTAACTGATCCACAAACCAGGTGTGTGTCCTCAGCAGCTACGACAAGTAAAGCATTTACTTTCCAACATACGAGACCATTGCGTGCTGCTGTTGGGAAAAGAGATTTTGTTCTTCTGTTGACTGGTGGACTTTGAAATGTTTAATTGTTCCTACATGTGGGACATGCAGCAGTCTATAGACCATAATAAACAGCTTGTGTTTAAGATAATGTATGTCTTCAGAAATCTAACCTGAAACTAAATACTTGCTGCTTAATGAACTGACACGCGGGGGGGGGGGC